CCTGAACCAGGAGGTCATGGTCAGGGCACATGTTGGATTGCATGTGAAGAATGAAAGGAAGATGGAAGAGGAGCTGAGAGGCACTGCCAGCCATAATTCTCTCTCATCCTTGATGTTTCTATCTCTCTCTCCCTCTCCCTTCCTCTCCAAAATCAATAAAAAACATATTTAAAAAATAACACACACAAAAAAACATAGATGGGTCTTTTTAAAGATAACATAACTTGCCCTGGCCAGTGTTTCTAAGTGGTTAGAGCGCCAGCCCAGGCACCCAAGGGTCACGGATTCGATTCCCGGTCAAGGGCATGTACCTGGGTTGCAGGTTTGATCCCCAGCCTCGGCTGGAGTGCCTATGGGAGGCAACCTATCAATGTGTCTCTCTCACATCAATGTTTCTCTCTCAACCCCCCCTCCCTTCTACTCTCTCTAAAAGAAAAAGCAAGGGAAAAAAATATCCTTGGGTGAGGATTAAAAACAAAACAAAATAACAAAAAAAATAGAGATAACATGCCTCTTATGATCAATCCATAGAAATAACAAACATCTGATGATCTCTCTTGTCTTTCTGAAGATTTGTGCATAAACTAGAACCTCTACATCTTTTTAATAGTTACATAAATATTAGAGCTAAAAGAACTTGTATTTATTTGGAAACTTTAAATTCACAAGGTGTATGGGCATGGAAAGTGGGGGGTGGGGGGATACTACCATCTAACCTTAGCTTCCCCAAACATCAGGAGAGTCTGGTGAGAAAAGAGATCACAGCATTAAACTACAAAGTAGACATCCATATTGAACACACCTTTATTTAAAAAGTATTCAAAAGAAAAAAAGTATTCAGAGGTCTTTAGTATTAAATACAAACATGAAGTTTCAATAAAGCCCTCACAAAGTTTTCAGAAGTCACTTTTTAAAAATATATATTTTTGACGAAACTAAGATGGCGGCATAGATAAACACCGGGAAATTGCTGCCTCCCACAACAATTGAATAATACTTCAAAAACACAAAAAGGGCATCATCCAGAACCACAGGAAGGCTGGCTGAGTGTAAATTCTACAACTAGACGGAAAGAAAAGCACACTGAGAGCCAGAGAAGCTACAGAAGAGAAGCGCAGAGGTAAGGGGCTCGTGCGCGCGGAAAGGGGCTGGCTCCTGAGGACACGGCTGTCTTTTTGAATCCAGAGGGAGTCCCAAGCCC